TATTTAATGCATATGGGTTTACTTATATTTTTACAGAAAAAAAGTGTATGTGCAATGGTAAACATACTACAAACATATACAAGAAATGAACATAAGAATATTTTCAATATAACAAACAGGGAAGAAGACTAGTATCTATTTAATGAAAGGTCTGAATGTTCAGGGAATGGGAAGATAAAATGTGGGATGATTAGAGAGTGAAATGAGAAAGAAGCCACATCTCTGTTTTAACATATATCTTCACTGGGTCCTCATCAATGTACAGTGCTGGGAGAGACTGAGAAAGATACTATCAGAAAGGCATAGACGAAGGAAAGAAATTACTACCTAAGGGAGGTTTTTAAAGCTTCCCCTCCAGAAAAAGATAACAGTTACAAAGCGTCAGATTCCCACAAATGAATAAGGAGAAAGAAAATTTTAGTCCATTTTCATTACATGAAATTCAGGTATTGGTAGGTTTTAAAAGCAAATAAAAAACCACAAAAGGCCACATCCTCAAGTCACAAGGTTTAAGGGTGGTGTGATGGGAAAACAACCCCATTCTCTGGGTTCAAGCTCAGTTCATCATGTTGATCTTGATCTACAGAAGCATAGACTCTTCTCACCAAAATGAGGTTAAAAATGACTGCTTCAGCCATTTAGACTGTTAATTTGAGGGGCTACATTGAGCCTGAACTCTGAGCAAACAGGAAACACTCTTGCTTTAAAAAAAAAAAAATCAAGGGACTTCCCTGGTGGTCCAGTGGTTAACATTTCACCTTCTAATGCAGGGGGTGCAGGGTTGCTCCCTCTCCCTGGTCAGGGAGCTAAGACCCACATGCCTCAGGGCCAAAAAACCAAACAGTAGCAATAGTGTAACAAATTCAATAAAGACTAAAAAAAGATAAAATTTTTTTTAAAAAATCAAGTAGCTCCAAATCTTATGAACAGATCATATATCAATTTTTTAATAAAGCCAGTTGTTTATAAATTAGAATGTATTAACAGTTCCCTTAGAAATATTATAAACACAAGTACTCTTGCTAGTCCACAAAATCTAAGTTTAATCATGATGCAAAAGCCTAGAATTAATAATAGCTCTAGATGAGGTCTGGAAAAGACAATTAGCAAAGGAAATAAAATTAACCATCACAAATAGAAAAACTAAGTTTCCTCCTAACAGTAAAACTACTCACAAGCCTGGCCCCAAAATGTGTGTGTATGTGTGTGTCAATAACACACCACCAACCCCTGGTTCTCTTGTCTTTGTCAGAACAGTTACAGCAGTAGTACACTATCTTGCCTTTTCCTCTCCATTTCACACCTCTATGTACACTAAAGTTCTAGGACCTAAGATGAGCAGTCTAGGATCCAAAATAACCTACTAGCCTTCCATTTAAACATCCCCTCAAGCCATTATCATTTAGTATTGGCCACAAAAATTAAAAGACCAGACTTGAGCCTGAAGTTCAACAAGAAGTCTTTTCTATAGTAATGCTGCACCCTGTATAACATGTCAATCTCCAGGTTTGTTTTTATTCTCTTCTTACCTAAATTGATCTAGGCAGACTACCCAAAACCACCAGGTGATGACTTTCTGGAAGTGTTAACCTGGCTAGGTTATAGCATCCCATTAATTTAATCCAATGCTAATCTAGATGCTGTTACAGAAGTATTTTATAAATATAATTAAAGCTTATAATCCATTTAAGTAAAAGAAATTATCCCAGATAATCGAAGTGGGCATATCTGAATCCTTTGGAAGGCCCTAAAAGCAGGCTTCCCAAGGAAAGAGAAGAAATTCTGCCTGTGGACCACAGTATGGCCCAGGCCTATGGAGTCTATTCTGCAGGGGTCTCCTCCTCCTGACAGCTTTCCTGTCTAGGTCTTAGACTTGCTTAGCCAGCTGCTGACAGTCACACTAGACGATTCCTTGTAATAAATCAGATATATATTTGCATATATCTTGCTGGTGGTTTAGTCGCTCAGTCGTGTCTGACTCTTTGTGACCCTATGGACTGTAGCCCACCAGGCCCCTCTGTCCATGGAATTCTCCAGGCAAGAATACTGGAGGGGGTTGCCATTTCCTTCTCCAGGGAATCTTCCCCACTCAGGGACTGAATCTGGGCCTCTTGCACTGAAGGCGGATTCTTTACCAACTGAGCCACCAGGGAAGCCCATATGTACCTTATATAAATAAATATATGTATGTATCTCTTCTACTGGTTCTGCCTCTTTGGTTGAACTCCAACTGATACACAGCATAGGACAGAATATAAATTTAGAAACAATACTTCTTAGATTTAATTGGGAAAAACATCTTATATCTGCAGATGTATGGGCAGGCTTACTTAATCCTCAGTAGCTCAAGACACTGGTACAACACTAAATCATCTGACAGAAGCTCCTGTTGTTTTGTACGAGCAGTGATTTTCAGGGCTATTTTCTCCCACAAGACCACAAAGAATATGTCTGGGAATTCTTTATGACTTAATCTAAACCTTTCGATGTTAGAGAATCTTACATAAGTACGAGAAAATTTTAAAAGAATAATAAGAATTTTCTTTAGTCCAACGATTGTAACAGCCTGTGTTCATTTTTGCACTTAGGAGGTTGCTGAATGCCCTGTAAAAATGCATCTGCTTCCCAAATGAATCGGCGTTTGGCATCACAGCCACACCGGCTAAGAGGCTACTCCTTAACAGGCACTCCAGCAAAAGAACCACCACACAAAAGATGGGCTTCAAACCAAGAATGAAACAATTACAACCAGCAATATCTGAACCTTACCAGGGAGGACACATACTTAATCCACAAGTGGTGGACCTAACAGGTACTGTTGAGCTGGACATACAACCGGCTGGTCTTTATTTCTGATCAAGCAGATTCCCCAGCAAGCCCCCAGAGGCAGCAGAGCGGCAGCAGCAACTCCTCAAGTCCAGAACTGTCACCTTGCTCGACACTCACTTTCCCAGGAAGTCCCAAACCAAGCCCCCCGACGGTGCAGGGACAGAAGCCTGGCGTGGAAGCCACAGAGGGCGGGAGACTGGCGTTCTGAGGGGCGTGGACACAGACAGACACAGAGACCAAAACCCCAATGGAGCGGGACCAGGGTAAGCCAAATCAAGAGAACGGTGAAGAAACTCAAACGATAAATGACAGGGAGACGGACACCCACACACAGGAAAATAGTGGAAATGGCAACACGAGAAGCAAAATTGTTAGTAAGACATGAGGGAGCCAAACACATGCACTAAATCTGGGAACAAAAGGCAGACAATAGTTTCAGTCATTTCATTCCTGTCTTGAACTGTGCTGCTCAGTAAACAAATTACAAATCCAGGAGCAACTGAGTTTTTTAGGACTGTATCTTTTCTTGGTAGCTAAGAAATTATGTGTCAAATCTTAAAACAAGATTATGACACTGCATGACCCGAGGACAAAACTCTATATTATATTCTGAGGAAAGAGTAGATCATTAACAACTCTTTCCCAAAATGTGAAAAATGCAGTGACTAATAAAAGCTATTTGGTGTGCTCTGCATATAAGATAAAGATTTAATACTATTCCTCACTCTCACTGAAATCACATTCTCTCCCAAATCAGTACTGGGTCCAAAAATGAATTGAAACATTTTTCAAGGGAACTATCTTGAATAGCCAGTGATAATTTCAATGTATAATTCTAATTTTTAAAAAATCAAACAAAAATAAAAGTTTATCAAGGAATTTCTTTTCTGAAATACTGAAATACATTTAGTGGATTTAGTGGAAAGTCATCATCCATAAAAAGTACTGCATTTTAAAATCTATGAAGATGAAGTACTGCTGTTGATTTCAGGCTGATACAAAGGCAAAGAGAGACAAGTATGCAAGGGGCATGTGTGTCAATTTGGGGGGTAAAGATACAAGGCAAACATGGGAGAAGACACACAGATATGTATAAAATCTAATCTTGAGACTCTGATAATTTATTAATTCTGACTTAAAGACATTATCCACCCATTTTCTCCAGACTTACTATCAAAATAAGAAGAAACAAATGAGTAAGTGATCAGCTCATGTTATTCATACTTTCAACCTTAGTGAAGAAGAACCCTGAGGGTTGGACTTATAGCTTCTTGAAAAATCAAAATCCTACAGGTACAGAACAAAAGGAAAAAATGACTTCCAGGGGAAAATATCAAATCTACCCATAACCCTAAAATTTTAAACTGAATAAACAACTTACGAAAGTAGTCTATTACCTCTTGACATTCAAGATCATGAAAATATTAAAATGGGCTCAAGGGAGCCTCAGGATTAGTGAGTTCACACTGTCCTGCTAGTCTCTCTGCTCAGAATACAGTGATTAGCATAGCTCTACTGGAAGAACTATTTCTCGTGAATTTATGTTAAATACATGGTGTAAAGGAAGAGGCCAAGAGGCGTAAGCTTTATCTTTGGTACAAAATACCCTAACAAGAAAAAAAAAAGGCAAAGAAAACTCCCAGAGAGTGGTCTGGATGGCTCTGTTCAAAGAGAGGTCACTTTCAGGCAGTCAAAGGCAGAGCTCAGCTAACACATCCATGTCTCACAAACTGTCCTCAAAATGTCTCTCCTTCTAAGCTTGAGCTGCTTCAACAGCTTGTTAACAGCTTGCTTCTCCACAACACAGAGTCTAAAAATTCATGGCCCAAAAGACCATCGGCTCAGAAAAAGGCCTGAATGAACTAAAAAATGCTAGCAGCTTGAACTTGAGGCTCCTCTGCTCCTAAAATAGATAAAATAAAGGGATACTTTCTCTGTCCAATCAATGATATTGAAGTCCACAGCTTTCCCATCTACTCCCACTCTGTGTGGCCTTTTAGACTCACACTGACTTGGAATAAAATGGAGGCAATGAAGACACTAGGCACTCAAGAATGTAAATTTGGAGAGGCAGACATATTGGAAAAACATGACCCTAAATTACACAGTTTCAAAACCATGCTTCACCCTTCCTAACACAGTGAGTCCCTGTTCAGCCTCCCCCTCCTTACCTTTCCAACTCAGCAATCTTCTTATCTTTGTCATTCTTCTCATTTTCCACCTCCTTTAAGATTTCCAAGAGGCGGTCAACTTCTGCCTGGGCCTTGCTGGATTCATCTTTGTACCTGGCAATCTCTCTCTCCAGCTGCTGTATTCGATCACTCATCTCAGGACTGGCTCTGGCTTCCAATGTTGCCTCATGTGCCTACGAAGAAAATATCCAAATTCTATGAGACAAGCAGAGAGAGGCAGTGGACAAACCAAGTCCCCAGAAGCCACCTATACTCCAGTGTAAACAGGACATTACCAAACCCCTAATAGCTAGGCTTTAATTTATAAGGTTTTTCTCTGCATTCATAATACACAGAGAAATAATTATATTAGAATCTGAACAAATTAGTTATTTAAAACAGTACACCTCTGAAACCTAAACAGCATATTAAAAACCAGAGACCTTGCTTTGCTGACAAAGGTCTGTACAGTCAGAGCTACGGTTTTTCCAGTAGTCATGTACGGATGTGAGAGTTGGACCATAAAGAAGGCTAAGTGCTAAAGAATTTCAACAATAAGCACAGCCTTCTGAATAAATATAAACACCAACCTTACACCAGTTATGGTTTTCAGCAAAAAGAAAATATGCCAATACTACTTCCAGTAAACCTACAAATTAGCTACAAAGTAAATGAAACAAGGGAAAACATGAAAAGAAAAACAGCAATGGTAGAAAAACAACTAATAAATCAGAGAAAGGAGAAGTCACCAACTCCTCTACCCAAAGATAACTTTAATTTTTCTTATGAACCTAAACACAAAGTGTAAGAGATCATCAGAAATAACCAGCTGTAGAACTACCTTGGTAACAAGAAGATTAAAAGTAAACAAACAAAAAACGTGAGATTGTCATACACAGGTGAGTTTGGATTATTAGTGAACAACAATTACTGTTCTTGATAGTTATTGCTTAGTTTTATAATCCTAAATATATCTAACAGTTTTACCTTCAATATTCCAGTATTAAATAGAAAATTATCTCCACTTGTTTAGTGATGGGGGAGAGGGAAAGTCAATTATCAAGTCTGAATTAGTTAATCTCAAAAAAAAAAAATAACGATTTTTCTTCTTATTCAAAAGTAACTTTAAAATGAAACTCCAATACTTTGGCTACCTGATGTGAAGAGCTGACTCATTTGAAAAGACCCTGATGCTTGGAAAGATTGAGGGCAGGAGGAGAAGGGGATGAGAGAGGATGAAATGGCTGGATGGCATCACCGACTCGATGGACATGGGTTTGGGTGAACTCCGGGAGTTGGTGATGGACAGGAAGGCCTGGTGTGCTGCGGTTCAATGGGGTTGCAAAGAGTCGGACATGGCTGAGCGACTGAACTGAAATGAACTTTAAAATAATGGCTTTTCTTCTTTTCCTTAGCTTAAAAATATGACTTTATTTTTGGCATATCCTAAAAAAATGACTCATTATGAGTTTCACGCTGAATACACCCAATACATGGGAAGAGTGAGTGAATGAAAGTCGCTCGGTTGTGTCCAACTCTTTGCGACCCCATGGACTGCAGCCTGCCAGGCTCCTCTGTCCATGGGGATTCTCCAGGCAAGAATACTGGAGTGGGTTGCCATTTCCTCCTCCAGGGGATCTTCCCACCCTGGGGATTGAACCCAGGTCTCCTGCACTGCAAGCGGATTATGGAAAAAGAACATCACCCAAAATGTCAACACCAGGCTTGATCCCCCTTTCATCAGTAGTCATATGAAGTGGACCCAGTTAATCAGAGTTGATAACTCAAGAGATAACAAATATGCAAGTGTTTTGAAAACTACAAATGGCTGTATAAATATTACAGAGGAATAAGTCAATGAAATGGATAGTAAGTATCCCTACCATATTCTAATATTCACCATATGGGTGATTATCACTGTAAAATTATCTTTTTCCAGGAAGCCTAAAGCTAATGGGAGAAAAATATCAACTGAGACTTTTACATGGTGGTCTTTTACATTTGTTTCTCTACAAATGAGCTGCATATTTGAATCTTACTCTGAATTATTAATTTTCTAAGAGTTTGAGGACTCTGAGTAAAGATATTAATGCTGCAAGAATTAATCAAGGTATAAATAGTATTATTACTCCATTAGTAAGTTATTCCATCCAAATACTATAAAGTTTTCTACTATGTTCTTATTTAAAAGCAGAGCAAGAAAATGGATACGTATTCTTTAACCTTTTTCAACTGTGATTCCATCTTCAGACACTCTTCCTTCTTCTGCTCCAAAGCGATTTCTAGAGTCTTAAGCCGTGAGTCCTTTTTCAGTCCTGAGGAAGCCAGGGACGAGGCATGTTCTTTCAGATCCAACAGTGAAGCCTAAAAGAAGCAACGCATATCTACAATAAACACTACTTATTAACGAAAAGGAGGCTGAACTTCTTAAATTTATCTTCCTGGTGGTTTCTAGTTTCTTTCCATTACCATATACTGACATATTTCCAAGAACACAAAATATAAAACAGCAGCATTACTTCTGGCTTTCAAGTCCTAACTGAAACAAAATGAATCCCCAAGAAAGGCCAACTGAATAATGACTTAAGGAGTTCTAGCAATACATATCTATTTTCACAAAATAAATGGAAGAAGGTCAAGCTCTGTGAATATAAGCAATCAACCTTAGTGGCTACACTGTTCTTTCTCTTTTAGAAGAAATATTCTATTAGAAACTTCCATTTCTATACATGTTCCTAAAGGTATTAGAAAGAAAACCCTGAGAATGTCCTTAAAGCTCATGATTATCTGATCACGAGGCATTAGGCACTTTTACTGTTCAGGTGGCATACATCAGGTTCTCCAGAAGTGAGATGGAAATATATGAAGGCACCTATCTGGTCAAGAGTTGTCTAAGGTTTCCCTGCTGGTGTTGAGGTGATCCCTAAGAGTGTTTGTAAACAGACTCCTCCTGGTGCATATTCCCTCCATCTGTCACCTTTCTTCCCATTGGCACAATAATTCTCCAAATGTACCTGGAGAAGTACTATTATTTTGGAATCTACAAAGTGTCATTAACAACTAAGAAAACTGGAAGAGGCAGGAGGTAAGGCTTAGGAAATGAATCATTCCATCCATGCTTCCTGAAATAGCCTTGGCTCTAAGAAGATTCTGTAAACCTTCCATCAGGCCCTTTTCTGCGTGCATTATGTCCACACCAACAACATACACACAGTGCACTAAGCAGATCACGCAATCCTCTGGGGGTAATCCCGACCTCTTTCTCTGAGAGGTCTCCCTGCAGAACGCTGACTTTCTCTTTCAGGTCTTTAAGGTCTTTCTTGTAGTTGTCAATTTCCTCCTGCTTTTCCCGCTCATCTCGGTCGCGCTGCTCCTTCAAGCGTTCAATCGTCCGCTCCTGTTAAGAGAGGACATCAGTGCATAGAAAATTCCTTTCTACTTCTACCTCATGACTACAATTCAGTTCTGAGCTATGCAGTTTCACACTTCCATCCTCCACTTAAAAAAGTGTATGTTACAGCAAGATAGGCAGGAAGGATGAATTCTTTAAAAAGTAAATTCATTTATTAAGAATTACTAAGAATTTACTTTTTAAAGAATTCATCCTTCCTGCCTATCTTGCTGTAACATACATCTGGCTTTGTTCTTTTGATTCCCTTAGGTTTCTTTCCCTATAATCTTAGTATTAGATACTGCTAAAGTATTCTTTTTGAATAATTTCATTTATTCAATTTCTAAGTAACAAAAGTCTTACATTATATATATATACCCTAAGGACAGTAAGTACCAAATATTTCTTCTCTATATATAATTCACATGTTGCTACAAAACAATGGAAACAATTCCCACACCAAAGAGGAGGAGGTTGGAGAGATTATGATTTGTTGAGTTTAAAGCATGAAGAAAGATAAAGAAAAAAGAAACCATTAAAACTTCTGTCAACAGATACTCAGGAAGTTTGAAAGCTAAAGCAATTAAGTATTTCTGGGTATTATTTCTGAATAGATTTGAGGATCAAGCTATGATCCCTGGGCAGGCAGCCCGAAGCATTCTGCATCCAAGAGGCTTAAGGAACAGTAACTCTATTCCTTAAATTAAAAAAAAAAATTCCAATTAAAATGTCCCACCAAGAGTCTTTAAACCTTTTCCAAGACATTAATACTTGTCACACTGGGCTACTTCTTTATTTACTCAATCATACCTGAAAAAACTAGGTTTGCTCATAAAGGCAAAATGAAATGGCAAGGCCACAACTTGAAACACAGCAAGTACATTGTATTAAAAACTAAAGCCCATAAAGATAAGAGGTCGCAATGTGGCACAGTAAGAGGACCAACGATGCCTCTCAATGGTCAGTGTCTGATATGCCCACCTGACCAAGTCCAGCTGATTTTCAAACAGAAGGACGTTTCTGAGAGAGCAGCACTGACATGCATGCACAACCACGTGTAACACAGACAGCTGGTGGGAAGCTGCTGTGCCGCACGGGGAGCTCAGCTGGGAGCTGTGATGACCTGGAGGGGCGGGATGGGGAGTGGGGATGGCGGGCGTGGGAGGAGGCTCAAGGGGGCAGAAGTGTATGTATACATTTAGCTGATTCACTTTGTTGCACAGCAGAAACCACTGTAAAGCAATTATACTCCATCCTGTAATTAAAATATTATTCAAATTAAAAAAAGTCTGTCTTCAGAAGACATTCAACAGGTAGCACATGGCTGATTCTTTAGAACTTTAGCCCCTGCCCTCCAGTATGGACTCTACTCTGCCCAGCAACAGATGCTTGAACCGCCAACAATAAAATGGATCTTCTCTCCCTCACACTGTCAGCAGTAGGGGCAGCTGTTCTCCCTTCTGCCAAAGCGACTTCCTCTGTCTTCTCCACCCAAGCCTCATCACCCGCCTTCTGGGCTCACAAGGCGGCAGATGTGCGTGCGTGCGGAGCTTGGGCCAGCCACCCACCTTCTCAGGCAGATGTGCGTGCGTGTGCAGAGCCTGGGCCAGCCACCCACCTTCTCAGGCAGATGTGCGTGCGTGCGGAGCCTGGGCCAGCTACCCACCTTCTCAGGCAGATGTGCGTGCGTGCAGAGCCTGGGCCAGCCACCCACCTTCTCAGGCAGATGTGCGTGTGTGCGGAGCCTGGGCCAGCCACCCACCTTCTCAGGCAGATGTGCGTGCGTGTGCGGAGCCTGGGCCAGCCACCCACCTTCTCAGGCAGATGTGCGTGCGTGTGCGGAGCCTGGGCCAGCCACCAACCTTCTGAGGCAGATGTGCGTGCGTGCGCGGAGCCTGGGCCAGCCACCCACCTTCTCAGGCAGGTGTGCGGAGCCTGGGCCAGCCACCCACCTTCTCGGCAAGGGCCTCCTCCAGAGTGGTCAGGGCGGTGTCGGTGTTGGTGGTGTCCGCCTGCAAGGACCTGACTCGCTCCTTCAAGCTGCTCGTCTGCTTCTCCTTGTCTCGGAGCTGCTCCTGGAGGTTTTCGATCTGAGTTGCGAATAGAAGTCATTTAAAGTCGGAGACAGACAGGTCAGGGCTGTTTGTGAGTGTGTGTTCTGCAGAAATAATTTACTCCTAAGGGTTTCAGAGTTTCATGCAAACCTTTAAGCTGAGAATTTATGGCCAAGAAAGAGAAGACACACACATTGGCAAGGGGGCGGAGGGAGGGGGAGTCAGTGGGCACGACTCTCTCAAGAAGTAACTAGGGAGAAAAGACCACACATACAGGGATGCGGAGAAGAAGACCTAAAGAGAAGAGCCATGAGCAATAACGGGATTACTTCTAGCAACGGTGTGGATGCCCAGAGGGACTCCTCTAAAAAGTGCTGAGAGAGGACAGCGAATGGAACGGCCGGACAGTAAGAAAAACTAACCAGCGTGTAAAGGAGCAATTGTTCTTAAATGATACTGTTCCAGTTAGATTTTTATATCACCTTTTATCTAAACAGCAAGGATTTTCAATGAAATTTATTATGGTAGTTACTCATTCTTTCATACACACTTACATGTATTCATTTAATCAAAACAAGTAGTGCTGAATTCTCTACTATATGCCAGGTACAGGTGACACGGAGAAAAGTGAACAGACCCATTTTCCTAAGAAGACGGGAAGAGGACTTTCTGAAGCTGAACCCAGGGCATGCACATGGATAGTCAGACGGGAACTATGAGGGACTTTTAAGCAAAGAAATGGTCTAGTCAAGTTCTCTGTTTCAGACTGATTAATTCTGATGACTGTGGAGAAGTTATCTAAGGGGACTTATGTAGAGACATGACAATTAGGAGACTGTATTAATGCAGGTAACAGAGTTTGGAAACTAAATGAGCTAAGAAAGATGGAAAAGACGGGATTGGCTTGTGAAAGTGTGGAAACAGCATGTTATCAGTAAGGAGACAGGTGTAGGTACAGTGAAAAAACAGTAAGAAAAGATATGGAGGAACGTAGATGTTCTTGATAAGCTAAAGGAAAACAATACATAAGGCGACTCCTAAAACTCATACACGTCATTCTTTTGTTCAGCATATATTTGCACTCCTGCTACAGGACAGGCACTTTTCCAGGTGCTGAGAATTAATTAAAACAGACAACCCCATCCTCAAAGAGCTTACATCATACCTACATGGTAGACAGTGGATGAATAAATGAAATGAACATAGTACTCAGGACACCGGGTAAGCCCTATAGAGAACAATGAAGCAGGAGAATACAGTCGTCGTGTGTTCTTGAACTAGCTGGTTTATCTCACACAGCTTTCAAAAAGCAACATGTCTTACCCCCATGAACAAGATGACCACAGTCTACACTCCTCCACCATGAACATATTTACACACATACACGTTCTTTTGTCTATCTATACTTTTTATCACATTTATCTCCATTAATCTATCGATCTATACATTGTAATGCTAATCTCCAACCATAATTATTCATTTTATGCACATCTCCACAAGCAGACTAAATCTGACTTCTCCACTCCAGTTTTGTACCTTCATATCTGGCATACGTCATGTCCATGATAAATCTGGCTCATTAAACACTAAATAATACATAAGGTTTTTAACTGTGGTGTTGGAGAAGACTCTTGAGAGTCTCTTGGACTTCAAGGAGATCCAACCAGTCCATCCTAAAGGAAATCAGTCCTGAGTGTTGATTGGAAGGACTGATGTTGAAGCTGAAACTCCAATACTTTGGCCACCTGATGCAAAGAGCTGACTCATTTGAAAAGACCCTGATGCTGGGAAAGATTCAGGGCAGGAGAAGGGGACAACAAAGGATGAGATGGTTGGATGGCATCACCGACTCAATGGACATGAGTTTGAGTAAACTCTGGGAGTTAGTGATGGACAGGGAGACCTGGCGTGCTGTAGTCCATGGGGTTACAAAGAGTCAGACACGACTGAGCAACTGAACTGAATACATAAGGTTGGACTTTTATAAACTGTATTTAGGCATATGCATAAACTTTTGCCAAGAAAGGAACTACAAAAGAACCCTAGATCCAACCTTAAAATAATTTCCTACATCAATCACCTTAATACTGTATTATAAGCTCTTTAAGGGTCTGCTTCATTCCGAAGGGGAAGAAAAGCAAAGGCCCCTCTCTAGAGTCAATGAGAATTTCACAGCAGAAGAAATAAGCTAAGCAAAAAACATTCAGTGAACTTACAATAGGGAACCATGAATACTGTTAAGGCTTGCATTTCTATTCTTTAACAAGGAAATAATCCCACAGGTGAACCACTAAAATTAGTTCCAGTCTTTTCAATGCCAATAAAGTCCCAAGCCTATTGTCTGAGAAAAGAATATCACATATGAAGAAGCATTAGTTTCCTTTAGTTTAATCAGACCCTCCTACTGGAATCTCATATGGATCAATATTTAGGTAAACTCACAACCACTAAAGAGTTTTGCCACTTAAAAATCTAGTAGGTCATATACACACAGAATGCAAAGCCCTAGTGTTTATATGTTTAACCAGCTGTGCATGTCATTCTAGTTGCTAACATATTAACTCTACTCAAATAAAAAGATACAATCATGCTGTCAATTAGACTTTTTTACCAAGAAAGTTAACATATAAACCCTAATCAAATAAAAACGTACAATCATGGCGTCGATTAGACTTTCTTACCCAGAAAGAGCAATATGACAGCTTTTCTTACAAAATGAAATTTCCCAAAACCAACTAAGTTTTACATATAAGAAAACAAGAGGTCTGTTTTATGAGCCTGCCTAATATATAAACAGCCCTTACATGCCTAATAAGGACAGTACCCTTCATTCTCCTCCATCATCAACATCTAAGAAATTAAAACGTTAACTGTTAACAAGTTCACTTGTATAATTTATATGTAGCCCAACTATTAAAGGAATCCATTTATTCTCTGCTGGTTAAAAAAAAACAAAAACAAAAAAAACCTTTTCCTGATATACTCAGGTACAGAAGCTGCTAAACTAGGTAAAATCCCCATTAACAAGTTCCCCCTAAGCTGCTTTCTTATTCAATCACTCAGCTGTCTAAACAGATTGTTGAGTTGGAGGGAAGGAAAAGGATGGCTATTCTTGGACTCCTATTTACTTTTTTTTTTTTTCCTATTTACTTCTAAAGAGCAGAAATAAACATTCCATAGTGAAAGGAACTGACAAAATGAAGAAAGGGCAGTGGTCACTAAAACTGCCTTCTTTGGGCAAGCTGCCATCTGTGAGGAAGACTTGAAACAGACTTGAAATAGACGCAGATATGTGCAAACTAGCTGCACAGGCATTAATCAAACTCCCTCCCATGAGGGAGGAGGGTGTATACAAAACATTTTTAGTTATCCAGCATCAGGATGGACAATAGTTAATCCTACTAAGAACTCCTCTTATATATCCTTGCTTTGTTTGTTGTTTAGTTGCTAAGTCCTGTCTCTTTGTGGCCCCATGGACTGTAGCCCGCCAGGCTGCTCAGTCCAGGGAACTCTGCAGGCAAGAATACTGGAGTGGGTAGCCATGCCCTTCTCTGGGGGATCTTCCCAACCCAGGGATCAAACCCAGGTCTCAAGCACTGCAGGAAGATTCTTTGCTGTCTGAGCACCAGGGAAGCTGTGAACCTGATGATTAATGGAGAGGTCCAATTAGGTAATACAAACAGCCTAATATCATAGGAAAGAACTAACAATGAAGAATTCAACGAGGAAATTTTTTTTAATAATTATTTAGAGAAAAAAGACATTTTCCTTAAAATGATCCCTCTAATTAAAGTATATCCCTGGTAACCGGGCTGGAAAGAAAAGAGAAATAAAATAACTATTATACTGTATAGAGCCTTTCTTTTCCTTATACAATTTCTACTTTACAAAGAGAGAAGAAAACTGATGGAGGATGGACTGATGTTGAATGCAGGCCACACGTGAATCCATCGATCTGCACAGCAGCTCCATATTGGCACAGATTCTTAACATCTTTTGTTTTGGCCTTTATCAGCATTGCCAGTTGTCAGAAACTATCATGTTTCAACATGGGTGATTTATTCCTAGTCGAGTGGAACTGATTACTCTGCCAGGCCCTAATCACTGAGGGAAGGTAGAGGAGACTCTGTAGGTTGTAGCACGAAGGACAAGAAATCCCCAAATACTTCTCGCAGTCACCTACCTACTCTGAGCATCATCTGAAGGAAAAGAATTTTTCAATGATGCCTCCACACTTATTCTAAGCAGTCATCAATGTCAATTTTATTGTGTGAAGCAGGTTCAGGAATCTTAGGCTCTTCCTTTCTTTATTTAATCATGTATTTACTAGGTGCTTTTCTCCAACATTAATTATCAGCATATCCTGGGTTTATTCTAATTATCCTTCTGTATCTGTATTTACTAGGTTTCCGTGGTAGCTCAGTGGTAAAGAATCCCCCTGCCAATGAAGGAGATGCAGTTTCAATCCCTGGGTTGGGAAGATCCCCTGCAGTAGGAAATGGTAACCTACTCCGCTATTCCTGCCTGGAGAATTCCACGGACAGAGGAGCCTGGTGGGCTACAGTTCATGGAGTTGCAAAGAGTCAGACACAACTGAGCAACTGAGCACATGCACACAGGAACCCTTGTATCCCAACTTGTTTGTTTCACAAATTCTGGGTATTTTGAAGCAGGAGTTCAGTGATGACCTTAAGGTATGTCTCACATTCCAGTCCACACAAATGAGCCGTGGGCATTTTTACATGAAGAGCACCAACTGCTTTCATGAGACTGTCAAAACGGGTAGAAGAAAAGTTAAAAACCATTAATCGGTGGCATTCTTTTCAAATGCCCACAATACCGTCTACAATGAACAGTCACTTCACTTACAACTGCCTGCCTAGCTGCTGTGTCAGACTCTGGTCTGGCTGGGATGCTGGGAGGACAGAACAACAGAAGCAGCCGGTCCTCACCATAAGCAACGGAAACCCAAGAACCTCATCAAATTTAGTGAATTTTCCTTGGTCAACTTGAATGATTTTTCTAAGCTGAAAAAC